CATTTGCGGCCAACGCAATTTCTCCGGTCCGGCTCCGAGGAGTTAGGCAGCGCCCTATAAGACGGCACCCGGCGTATAGGACGACCCCCGATTTTTGAGAAGATTTTCCTGGGTTAAAAAGTAGTCTTATACGCCAGAAAATACAGTAAATCTGCCTCCGTACAGCACAGTGGGAAAGCGCTGCAGTCTGTCCACACTGACAGCTTCAAGCGCACTGGCGTGGCCACATTTGCGACACTTGCAGCGGCATTGGGAGTGGTGCATTATGGGCAGCTATCCCAGCATGCAAGTGACTGCAACGTGCTTTTCAAATGGGGTGGGGGGTGGAGTGTGACAGGGAGTGTGTTGTGTGTGTGGAGGGAGAGAGAGTGGGTTTGTGGGGGGCTGAGTGTGTCAGCATGCTGTCTGGTAAGTTCAGACCCCCTCTTCCCCCCGCCTCTCTTTCACTCACTCAAAGCAAACAGTAAATGTTTGCTTTCTTGGAGCCGATAAGCAGCCAGCTTCTCCGAAACACTTTGAAAGGGCATTTCCTCATTCCTGCAGCTGATTTCACAACAATGACAAGAGTGGCCACTTAACTTAAGGGGATTACGGGACGTTTCTGGAGGCTGATCACAGCGCAGTAATGCAATACCTCGTTCACACTGGTGCCGCGGTGCTCCAGCGGGGGTGCAGCAAACATTATTTCACTTGCCGAGGTGGAGTACCAGCAGCGCTGTAGCCGCAGAGTCAGAGTGCTCTACGTGCCTTGCCAGTGTGGACGGGGAGTGAGCTAGGGCGCCTGGGGCTGCTTTGTTGTGTTGTAACTCGCAAGTGTAGCCAAGGCCTTAGTGACCAGTACCAGCTGCTTTAGAGGAATACACATGAAACCCTCTACTGTAGAATAACCAAAGTTTCTTCCTAACCCTGTCAGTCAGCAGTTGGCTTACATCCTAGCCGTTACAATTGAGTTGGGATTTTTGTGCTAGTGAAGGGTAGGGCTCCATTTGGCCCTAAAATTGTAGATTGTAATCTTGGATGATTGTAGACAGATAGAAAGCTGAGGCAGCAAGTACAATCACTGTGAAAGGCGTTAATCTTTATAGATGATTTCTTTGTAAAAGTCTGCAACAGAGTTTAGCAGTTAACCTCAGTCCATTCTCATATACCCAGTCCCCTTCCCTTGGGGCATCAAGACCTTCCCCTACATTTTATCTATCTGATAGCGTATTTAGTTCTCACCGTACCCACAATGTGGCCAGTTTGGGAAAGGAAAAGTACAGTCTGCTCTACTTTCGTATCCCTTCTGCCAGTGTAGTTACCAGCTCCTTTCTAGTCTTACTGCAGAGGCCAAAGGCCTTTTGTGTGTGCTAGTTAGTCTCTGCCTTCAGCCCAGATACCTAGTTCAGTTTGTCTTAAAATAATTTTATTTTGAATAGTATGGAAGAATCATCAGTAAGGTGGCTCTAGGGGTGAAAGTAACTTAAAGGACTTACCGGTACGCCAGAGTCCTGAGCGGGGCGTGGCCTCAACCAGAAGAGGCTGTGGCTGGGAGCTCCAGGGCCTTTAAATCACCCCGGAGCTACCAGCTGCAAAGGTGGCTGGGAGCCCCGGGGCTCAGGGGCGAATTAAAGGGCCCGGGGCTCCAGCTGCCGCGGAGCTCTGGACCCTTTAAATCACCACGGGAGCCCTGCTGCCACTACCCCGGGGCAGCAGGGCTCAGGCTAGGGCTGAGGTAGTGGCGACAGGGCTCCGGAGGCGATTAAATCCCCGCCAGGGCCCTTTAAATCATCGCTGGAGAAGCCAGTCCAGTCCAGCACGGCATACTGGCCCGTACCGCCTTACTTTCACCGCTGGGTGGCTATGAATACTACATAAAGACTGACAAAAGCTCACTTACAAGGTAACAGGCCCCTCTACCTTGAATGGTCTCTTACAATATGTGCTAATTATCTGTGCTAAACAATCTGTTCCACCATGGATGTAGCTGTGACACTGGGAGTACCTTTCCCAGACCTGAAGAAGAGCTCGGTGTGGCTCGAAAGCTTGTCTCTCTCACCAACAGAACTTGGTCCAATAAAAGATATTACCTTACCCAAATGGGTAATGTCAGTTTCCTGGAATCCCACATGGTAGAAAAGTTCTCCTATAGTGTCATCTCTGTTCACGCAGGTCTTTAAGCTGTTATGTGTGGTGGTGTGACAGCAGACCACTGTAGATGTATTCTTAAGGCACTTGGAATCCAACCATCGAATCTCTTGTTATTTGTAATTACTTTGTTCTTTGATCAGTAAGCCAATACTCTTAGGATTTCCTCGTACAGACATTGAACTATGAACTTAATTTCTTCAAGCATGTAAATTGAGCTGAAATCTAAGTGCTTAGTGAAGAAATAATCAAAATAACACTTTTTATTCCATTGTGCAAAATATACATACATTTATCACAAATTTCTGTAGGTTTTTGGTGAGAGGTTGGTACCATCATTGTATAGTATCCTCAGTATGTCCTAACCTTATAGCACTGTTTCTTTAGTACAGTGATTTTTAGCTGAATTCTTTCCCTGTTTTCTTTTTCATGTGATTATTTAACATGGTTATCTTGAAGAAATCTTGCATAACTCATGACAATTTAGCAGCCTTAGTCACAAGTTCTGCCTTCTTACAATTTTTTTTTGGTCTGGTGTGTGTTAAAAGTCTGTTTGAATTATGTAAGATGTACTCAGACAATATTTTCATTCCATGTAGGTACTCTAGTATAGCGCACGATCCAGTACACATAGATTTCAACGGCCATTTGATCAAGCCCCTCATGATCCAATCTGTGTAAGAAATGAATGGAGGTGGGGGAAGTTATTTTGTTCCTGAGTGAAGTTGTTGCTTTCAGAATATTATTGGGGTGGGTTTTTTTAAGATAAGAAAGGATGGCACAATCTGAAGATGTAAACATCTTCACTTTCCCCCCTGATGTTTAGGGTCTATAGTGATTAGTATTCTTGCCTGTGAACTGCGTGTGGACCACCATTTCAGGTGCAACACAGATTCTTGTGGGATTAGGAGATGAAGTACCACCTGATTGGATCTAAACTATAGTTATTACTACTAGGTTGCCCATGGTGCAGTCAGAGATGCCATGGGACTTCTATTAAAGAACAGAGATAATCCTAATGTCCTGGAAAACATTCCCTATCTATGTAAAACAGGTTATAGAATCCAAAATTATAGAAGCGCTAGTATAGAGCACATAATGGCTGCTCTACATATCTGAATAGTCATTCCATTACCCGCATTTAACACTATAAAAAGCAGAATGTGTTTTTTAAAAGGGAAATAAAAGCGGTACTCAGATCTTTTCATGCTGATTTTTTTAATTTATTCATTCAATGGCACAATAAGTATCAAACTTCTCATTTTTGCCAGAGTGCTGAGCAATGTCCAGCCAATCAAGACCAAGCCTTATCTGCCCAGCAAGCCGCTGTTATTAACCTGACTGGAGTAGGGAGCTTTATGCAACCTCAAGCAGCAGGTATGTGGTGGCAGAGTTTCCTTCTGGTTTTTTTTAGTGACATTGATAAATTTCATACTGGAATGAAGTTTGGTGTTTAATATAAGCCTTCCCCTTACTCTAATTAAAGCAAATCACATATCAAGGTATCATGACAGAGTATGGATTACATAAAAGATGCTACACTTAATTTGACTTGCAAATTAAAAGCATGCACTTTTCTGCTTCTTTGTCTTGTGTATGGTAGTTTCATAAACTGAATATGCTCTAAATCACAATTCCTGCCAAAACTGTACAAAGCTTCCATACCAAACTTCATTAAGGAGTATTTCTTTAAACTGTCTGCTTTAAAGACCAGTATGAGAAATTTGTTTCATGTCCACAAGCTCTTCATAATCTAACTGCATGTTCCAACTAACAGTGTCTATACAGTGTATACTTTATTCTGCACTGTTTCTGATTTTATTCTGAGATTAATTCTACTGATCCCCTTTCTGTTACACTCTATTCCTATGTCTTCCTTTCCTAACCCTGACAACCTCCACCCAACCTCTTTGACCTGCCTGCTTTCCCCTTCTCCTTTTCGTAGTGTTGTCTCAGCTTGGCTCTGCCGTGAACAGACGTGGGCAAAGCCTTCCTCAGCAGAGACTCCAGCTCTCCTCTGCCTTACAGCAGCAACAACAACAAGCCTTGCAGCAGCAGCAGCAACAGATACAAGTAATCCAGCAACTTCGCTCTGATTGCATTAAAAAAATACAATTCTCAGCTCCAAAAACAAAAATGCTGCCCTTTAGACTTTTACTAATACCATATGGAATTTTTAAAATGTTGCAGTGTGGCAAACTAAACTCAGAGATCCGATGCCTCTTGTTCTACCAACTTGGAGCACTGAATTTATTTTTATACATTAAAGCCATCCGCTTTCCTGATTTGACAACATTCAAGGAGTGCTTGTGGCACGTTACTAAATAAGCTTGGCCAGGTGCCATTAGGGTTTTGAAGCAACAGCATGTCGAGTGCCTGGTTAAATTCAAACACAGTGCACAGCTACAGTTAATACATTAACAAGGAAGCTCTGGCAAAGCCTTCTTTTAACATAGTGATGTTCTCCATCCTGATATTTATATAGGGAGAACATTATTGCAATATTAGGACAAAAATATATTGCATGAATGAGGGAGACTTAAATAGAGAAATGATATTAAGTATTATGCTGAATATATCATCTGAACTAAAATGTTTACTGAAGTTGCTGAGTTACTGCAGTTACTGCGACAGACACAAAGGGCAAAGTTTAACTGTGAAATGTTTGAAACGCCCTCAGCAGGCTTCTGTGCCACTGGTGCTGCTTGACTGTACTCATTGTCCCCGTATGTGGTATTCCTTTTTGATGCCATTTCAGTGCTTCCTCAGTTTAATTACCCCATCTTGTTCTTTCCTGTCATTCTTCCTGAGGTAAAAGGTAGCGTTAAATTTAATATAACGAGCTTTTTTTCCTTTCCCTTCTCCCCCACGGCAGCAGTTGCGATTCTTGCAGCATCAAATGGCTATGGCAGCAGCAGCAGCACAAACAGCTCAGCTACGACACCAGCACCATTCAGGCAGCCAGTCCAAAAGTAAAAGGAAACGAGGCACACCGACCCCTCCCAAGTCCTGAGTCTTGGGGGGTTTATATTTAAAAAAAAATAGACGCAGAGGTGATTTTTAAAACTTTTTTTTTTTTTTAAGAAAGCTCAAAAAAAAATCAGTGTTTGAAATGGCTGATGGGAAAATGAATTTTTGAAGTAATGCTGATATGTATAAACTGTATCGGGAAGCCAACTCTATGGAAAATAGGAATTTCATCTAACAAAAAGCTAGGGTTTGTTTTTTGCAAGTCACTTCATATTTTTAATAAGATGTTTTACCTTGTATTTTTTACCATTCAGCAGCACTGTACATAGTATAAGGGTGATACATTTTAGAAAAACGAACTTTGTAAATGTAGTATTGATATCTGTTTATTTAGTATAAAAGGTTGGTGAATACTCTAACAAATACAGTTTTTACAAATCCATTTTGAAGAAACCTTGCCGTATGTTTATTTTGGTTTTATACTTTTTATCACTTTATCTATCAGCTTCTTCACTTCTTTGTGTCTTGTAACTGCCCGGGTGATACAGTCTTGAAGTTTTGCTGCTGTTAGGCCACTTCCACCTAAAAAAGAGGGGGGAGCCCCCCAAAATTGAAAGTAGTAGCTTGGTTTTCCATTTTGTTTTCTTTAAAATGTTTATCAAATGGAAACATTAAAACCTTTCAGTCATGGGGGTTACGTTACTGTTTAAGAATCAGGGTGGTCTAATTTGCAATTCTGCTTAAGAAAATTGTTTTACTTTAAATATCAAATCTTACCAGCACAATAGAAGACCTATGTTCAAGATCCAATCTCTACAAGAAGTTTGGCTAAACAAGTCATGAAGACGATTTATGCAAGGAAAAGATTATTTCTTGCAGCAGCCACACCAGCTCTTGCAAAATGCAATACTGTAGATTATTTTTAAGAAGACTGCAGTAGTAACATTAATTTAAGAAACAGTTCAACTAAGAGTGAAGAAAAATGTTACTTGTTTTGAGAGCACTGTCTGACACAGGTGCAGTATTAAGAGGGCACTACATGCTAAAGGCCAATAACGTTACTATCTATGCAGCATGTACTACTGAAATAACAGCCATCTGTAGGTAGAATTTATTCCAACCATTTAATTTTAAATTTGTTGCCTGTCAAATTAACTTGTAGTAATTTTGCAAAGTACCTGGCTTATGAACAGAACATAGTCTGCCTTCTTCATCCATTACAATGGTTACAGTTCCAGTTGCCAGGTCCTCCTCTTCTGCCGTCGGATCAACAATGAGTATTGTTCTTTTAAAAGAAAAGAATCCAGAGGTGGGTGGGATGTTTGTCTACAAGTTATTGGACCTTGACATACAAAACAATCAGTTAGGAAAAGGTTCATCTAAGATGAATTTGTCCAGGGTCATTTAGGCTAACTTTTTTAAAGGTTTTATTTATAGCGAGTATTTTTTTAGCTGAATATAGTACTTCTGGAAGCATTCTATAAACACCCAATGTTCTGTCATCAGGATGCCCTAATTTAAAGAACATGGGGAGAAGGCAAACCCTTACTGAACCTCAATGCTGAACTCAATTGGATGTTTGAGGGTTTGTAAATAGAAATAAAATTTAAATGTAGGGGTTTTAAAAATGTATTCCCTAATCAGGAAACTACAATTTGCAACACTAAAACAGCTACTACAGTAACACTCAGACAGTAAAACAGTTTAGAATTGTGGTAAAACAAATCTTTTAAAACGGTGACTACATGCTGTAAGACTGTTTACTGTTAACAGAAAACTAAGTGAAAACACCATTATTTCCATTTGCTGTAGATGTACTTACAAAATCCATTCCTCTTATTTGCATGTATATTTATTTTAGTGAATCCTTTGAAAGAGAATCAAGGACTGTATTTTGATCTACTACACTGTTCAATCAAGGAAGCGATCAAAAATATTACCCCTGTGATGAAGGCTATTGAGTTCTCAAGACCCAGAATTAGTTTTTTCCACAGCAAATAATGCAAAGTTCATAATATTTAAAGGGAAAATTGACTAAATATCCTTTATTCCACAATAAAAATTGTTGGAACCATTTAATAATATCAAATAGTTTAGTCCTTGAGAAATCTATACTACAATGGACAGATACAGAGCCAAATAATAAAAGTTCATAGAGTCGTCAATGGGACAGGATGATAAAGACCTCAACTTTTACTAAAAACCTTAAACACTCACAGGTTTTCTCAGAAATCATGGTCATTACATACAGCCTTATCCATACCTTAGTACAACCTTTTTGAACGTGCAAAATGTTTATAAACAACAGTGCAAATTATTATTGGGAATATCTGGTGTGAATTCCTAATTCCACACTGTTAAAAAAGTGTATTTTAAAGTCCATGTAATTAAATTTGATCTACTGAATATAGTGACACTCTGCCAAGGGAATGCATTTATTCTACATGTTACTTACAACTAATTTTTAAAAAGTGGGGAGCTCTATGATTTGGTAATGCTTTTCATATTATCTGCATCATAAAAAGTGGGCAGTTGCCTGAACTTTCACAAAGTAGTGAACAGAACAACTCAATCTCAGTACATAAACCCCCTAACCCAGGGTAGCTGCTCGCTCCCTCCCCACCCCTAGGCTACTGCAAAAAACATTTGCTTGTTCTACATGAGACAATTTAAATAAAGGGAAGGTTGGAGGTTCTTTCATTGTTCACTTTTCCAGTTGCTGATTGATATTTTTGTGCCAGAGGCACACACTCCTAAGCATTACTACTGCTTTGCACACACTGCCGTTCATCCAAAGAGTTCTTACTGTTTAGGTATTTGTATACCATGTTTTCCAACCCTCCTCTCTCTCACATTAATGATATTAAGGAGTTGCCTGTAAATACTTCTGAGAGGACAAACAGAAAGAGATATTTCTGTTGACTGTGGCTATTGAAGAGATGCAGCATACTATCAGCACTGCTCTGCAGCTAGTTTTAGAACCTCTCTTATCTGGCAGTTATTATACGTAGCAGCTTACACACTTCCATTTTACTATTGACAAACAGATGCTAGGGCCTGAAGTAACTGAAAACAGTCTACAAGTAATTCATAGCAGATGAATCCCTCAAGAGTGAAACAGACTTTACATTTACTCTTTGGGAATTAACGGCCTCTGTAATTCAGGGCTTGCCAGAGATGTTATAGCATGGGCTATAACAATTAGGAAGTGCTGGTGACGACAAAACTCTTCCGCCCAAGAGGCAAAGTCTGGCCTGGGGGACCACTTGTATCCCAATCCTGCTATTTTAGTGAAAAAAACAACGAACAAGAAAGATTTCAAGTAAGGAGTCTTTCAGATAGATTTCAAAATAAAAAGCCTGACAACATGCGACCCTTTTAGGTCTGAGGACGTTAACTTGGAGAGTTGGCCAAATTTTAATTTGAGTAATGACATTCCATCTATATCAATCCCTGGATAAGTTCTTTACTTTCTGTCCTGAAACTGTTGCTATGAGCTATTGAAAAATTGTCACCTTGTAGGCCACAGATATTTGCATTTCAGTAGTGGATGTAGTGATTTGTATATGTTAGTTTGTGTTAGTAAAGCTCTTTGGGATGAAAGGTATATAAATACAATAACATCGTGCAGCTACACCTCTCAAGTCCATTTTAATATTAAAATACTTTCCAATATGGCTAAGCTGTGAAATCTGGAGATCAAATCTGGCTTCAGTTGCAGAGAAAAGTTTGGTAATATTAATTCTGTTCTGGTGGTCATTTGTTCATATTATAAAACTATGTAACAGTTCAAAATAATCAGCCCTGAATTCGAGTAGCTGAAAAGTCAGGTTGGTCCATGAGGTGCACTGACATAACTGTATGAGGATTTTGCCACAACAGCTTCTTGGCAACACTGTCAGTTTTTCACCAGTGTGTGTGTCACTAAACAAATTTTTTTTTTTAAAGTATACATTTTATCAGTTCCCAACTTACTCGTCAAATATAACAAACGATGTAGCAACTGGATGCTTTCTGATATTCAAAGGATTTGTCTGTTTTAAATCAACTTCTGCCAAACCAGTTTCTTCATTTATAGTAACTTTTGGCAACTGTACTGAAAGAGAAGAGGCCAATTAATTGTATGATATTAAACTAGCTGAAGATAATTTGGGCTTTATCCCCAAAGGAATACTTTATGAACTGTTCTATGTTAACATCCATCAATCTCTATGGAACTGAGCAACTGCAATTCCTATTGACTGCAGGTCCCAAATCAGACAATGTGGGACACCTGTTTTCTATAAAAATAACAGATGCCACTTTTATCCTTTTTGAGCCCATTATTTTGTTCTGAGTGAGTCAAGTATAAATGATCAGTTGTAAAAAAAAACCAACCAAACAAACAACAAAAACACCATACTGGCACTTTCTACGTTGCAAGTACATTCTCTGTACCACATTGAACAAAAAAAAATCCCACAATCGCATGTCTTTTTCCTATCACTATATCACTTCTCTCTATTCCTCTATGATCCGGCTTTATGATCTCTTCAATTATAAATGTGAACATGTATTAAATAAAAACGTAGTTTTCTTACACTAAATAACACGAACAGATAACACTTCATTTAGATGTTGGTGTATTGAATATTACAATTTTGCTTATGATCAATAGTGGAGTGTCCAAACTTCTGGTACGCTGAAAGCAAATACCATTGCTCTGAAAAACTAAGGTATCTGGTGGAATGGCTATCAGTCCTATAATAGATTAATACAATGTGCAAGAAGCATATGTAAGCAAGGTAGCCCACAGCCTGATCAATAACACGTATACAAATCTATGACATCAATTTAGTGACATATTTCTTCTTTGTGTTATTGCTTCAGTAGTTCAATAAAAAGATGGGGGTTTTAGCTGCTGAAATATTCTGTTCTTGGGGAAATTAAAATCATCATGATTCAGATTCCTACTAACACATTTATCCCATGAATGTAATTTGCTTAACAATTGTTTGTTATAGGACACTTACCATTTTTTAAAGCTGCTAACAAAGCAAATGTGCAGGCATCCAAAATGTTTCCATCATAGTCCAAGCATATGAAATCGCAGTATAGAACCCAAGCAAGCTAAGAAACAAAGTTTGCATGTGTGAGATCTGATATATCCTTTGAACTGCCGGTATCACACTAATTCGGGTTACAGGCCAATGGTAATACACATTAAGCTAGAGAACCATCCTCTTATTCTTTAATAACAAATATGAATACATGGCCTCTGAGCTCCCCACAACCCAATTCACTAAGCATAGCACCAGATTATTAGGATGGATATTGCTGAGAAGTGGCTGAGGAAGCAATTGTACTGAGGGGGCAGCAAAGAACATCACACACATTTATGCATTATGGTCACATCAGAAAAATTCAATTTTTTTAAAAGGAGTTATTTATGTGCAAATAGCA